TATTTATTTTAATAACCTATATTGAATTAAAGAAATAGTATGATCTATGTTTTAAATTTTTTTTAGAGTCGATAATGTTTCTTTCTCAAGTGCTCTGATAATTTCATCTTTAACAATCACTTGTATTGCTTGTGTGTGTGTGTGAGCAAGAGAGAGAGAGAGAGGGTGTATGTATGACGGAGACATTGAGAGGTACTGATGTTTGAGGGATTATTGACAAAAGTGGTCCACAGTTTAACAAAACTACAAATGAGAAGCAATGGATCTATTGTTGGGCCAATCTTATGACATGGGCCATTGTGTAATGTAATTGTCTGAATATCTTTGTTTGAATTCTTTAGTTTGGGTTTTATGACTTCATTGGGCCTTTTGGGTTAACCAATCCAAATTATAAAAGCCCTTAAACTCAAGGTATTGGGACCCTAAGCAGTCACCTAAGTGGCCTGGGCTTTAAGGATCAAAATTTCAGTTCAAAACAGTGACGTCTCTGTTTTCAAAGAGACCGAAATGAATTATTACTTGAATTGATCCAATGTTTTGAGGTGTTTTAGAATATTTTGAAATGTTTTGAAGTGTTTCGAAATGTTGCAGCATGTTTCAACCATTGTTTTATAATGTTTCAAGGTACTTTAAGATGTTTTAGTATATTTGGACCAATATTTTGAAATTTTTGAAAATAAATTTTTAACTTTTTTATTCGTTTCCATTATGTTTTCTGATTGTTTCCTCGGTGACCATTGTTTCATAATGTTTCAAGGTACTTTAAGATGTTTCAGTATATTTGGACCAACGTTTTGAAATTTTTGAAAATTAATTTTTAATTTTTTTATTCGTTTCCATTATATTTTTTGATTGTTTCCTTGGTGACCGAAAGAATGCACCGAAATAAAATTTTGATACTTGCTTAGGCCTAGGGCCGACCCTATAATGTTAGCGTTATTGTACACTAAACCATTATGGGGGCGAGGAAGTGTACTCTATTCATCTAGTTTCAAAAAATTCAAGGTAAAGTGATTTATGAGTGAGGAAACTTGTGTGTGGAGATGGGAGAGGCGAATCTAAAATTATGTTCTATATTTTGTGAGAAAGTTTTGTGAGACTGCATAATATCAAACTATGAAACCATTCCAGAGTTATATGAACTTCAAGCCCATTTGAGATTCTGATTTTAGCCATGGAAATTGACAATGTGAGATTGCATATTGCTTTTGCACCTTGTATTAGAAAGTGGAGTTCGTTTATTAATCACGCTTCTTACATCTTATAAGCAACCGACCAAGTATTGTTGATGACACTTGTCTACTTTTTAACTATCTGAAAATTTGGCCAAATCCGCATTGGCTTGCAATTAATTATGCATGTTTATAAAGACATTCATCCTCTCTTGTTATGATAAATTCCAAGTGGCCAAGACACTTATGGTTTCTTGAGGTTCATAATTCTACGTGCCTGTTTGTTTGGTTATGAATGTAGTTTGTTAGAGCATATAAACCAAAATCAATTGCCAATGTGTGTAGTGGCTCCTCACGTATTTTGGTGGTTTTAGTTATTTGATATGGGATACAAGCTCTCTTAATATCCTTTCTCGCATGGGACCTGGGCTCACATGTGGGGTCAACAAACAAACAACTATGCATATTGGAAAATTCAAATGGGTAGGAGACTTGGCACACTGACAACCTAAGGACAAGCTTTGATACAATGATAGAGCATCCAATCTAAAAACAATGGCAATAGGTGGAGTAACCCCTCAAGTATATACACCAACCTTGATGGTCCTAATTATATAATGTGGGATACAAGTTCTCTTAACAATGCTAACTAAAGTTATATTGGTCTCCAATTTATTATATCTTATCTCAATTGTTCTGTTTGTTTCTCTTTGACAGCTTATAGGGAAGACACCAATGGTCTACTTGAATAATATTGTAAAGGGTGCCGTTGCGAACATAGCTGCCAAGCTTGAGATCATGGAGCCATGTTGCAGTGTTAAGGATAGGTGTGGTATAGAGAAATAACTTATGTGATATATGATCTTGCAATTCTACATTGTGCTAGACGTTGTCTATTGCTTACATTATAATGTTTTGGGAGTATGCACCCTTTATTTAGATCCAAAGCTTCAAAATGATGCTTGTTGTAGCGTGTAACAAATCTTTATTTTCTTTTTTTTTTTATAGGAAACATAACTGATGTATTAATAAATATCAAAAGATCCAAAATTATATCAAAATGGTTGGATAAGAAATTCAACCAAAAAGTAGGAAACAATAAAGCAAAAAAGAACTAGATTACATAAAAACTCTTAAATCACATAAAACTCTCCACTCCGATAGCAAAAAGCGGAATTCCTTCAAAGTCCTTAAAAATCGAAGTCCAAAATGATTCTAGCAAATGAATACAGTCCCATATTCCTTCCAAGCACTCAATACTATTATAAATTTTTTTTGCATTTCTTTTCTCCTATATAACCCAAAAAATAGCCATTATTGCACAATTCCAAAGGGTGATACCTTTATCAATTCTCCCAAGCCTTTAAATCTTCAACAAACAAAGAAGTGGGTGACTCGGGAACCACCCAACACAAACCCGCCAAGGTAAACAATTTATTCCACAAGGACAAAGCAGTAGGGTAATGTAAAAATAAATGATCAATACTTTTCAAAGCATATTTACACATCACACCCTATTTTTTTGGGGGGGGATACAAGAATGAGGCCTTCCCTTTGAAGCATATCATTGATGTTAATCTTGTCATGTGCAATAGTTCATGCAAAAGCTTGCACTTTAGTAGGCACTTTAGCCTTCCATATCTTGAAAGCCGGTTCAAAGATAGGAAAAAAAGGATCATTCACCGAGGATGCAGAGAAGAATTTACTAAAGAAGACACCCTAAGGCTTAACAACCCATCTTTGTCTGTCATAAGAAGGTGAATAGGATTGGGAGGTGGAGTCAATGGATAAATTCCATGGATTACTATATGGGACCCATCTTGGGACGTCGGGGGGTTGGGAAGTTCAAATGTGTTCGTTCAAGGGCTGCAAAACAGTGGAAAAAGCAATGAAGAGAAAAGTTGGGACCAGCCAAGACAAAAGCAATCATGCCAAAAGGGATATTCAACCCCATAGAAGGAAGCTTCACTTCGAATAGATTTGTTTCAATGGATCATTGATGGGGAAACTAGCATAAATTCATATTTTCTATTGATATTACTTGTAGGGTTACATTATGCTCATCATTGATTATATTTATAATGTTTCTTCAGTGACCTATGTTTTGAATTTTACGACCCTTGGGCAATGATCAAAATTTTGTTTTGGTGCATTGTTTTGGTCACCTAAGAAACAGAAACTTTTCGACGTGTTTCGGAAATGTTTCGACTTATTTCGGAAATAAGAAAGAAAAAAAATAAAGAAGTTAAAGAATAATTTTTTCAAATCATTGGTTAAAATATACCAAAGTATCTTAAAATACCTTAAAATATTTTGAAACAATTATACAAATGCATTGAAACATTACAAAACATCTCGAAACTTATGAAACATTTCGAAACGAAATTTTGATCCTTGCTTTTGGGCTCTGTAAAAATAAAAATTGCTAGAATTACTTAGATAGTAGTTAGGGTGACTTTAGTATGTGTCCCCCCTGGTCCAAACTCTTTTGTAGCACCTTTGTTATCAAGACGAACCACCCTCGCAAGGAAGAGGTAGTTAACGTTAAACTAATCAGTAGTATTACGGTCACTCGGAAGCATCGTCATTGATCAGCTTCAAAATCTCATGAGATTCAAACAATAAGCATTGTCATTGAGTAGCTTCAAAATCTCACACAACTCCTCCAATGTGTTACAGGAATATACAAATAAGTTTTGGTTACCCTTTTGTTAGGACAACCGTCTCCAGACACAACGTTATCATGATGTGGATCCATTGCCAATGTGTAATTCAAGTTGCTTATTTCAATCTTCTTCTACAGCCTTTCATAGATCAACTCTGTGTATGTATTGTGTCACATACCCTGCATACAACAACTGTAACAGTGACTAGGGTTGCCCCCTTACCTAGTATTTTCTATTAGAGGATGTAACCCAAAACCAATTAGTAATGAATGGAGTGAATCTTCAAGTATATAAACCAACTTTTGTAGTCCTAATTATTCGATATGAGAAGCTCTCTTAACACCCTCTTTCACATGGGACTCGGGCTTGCTTGTGGGGTCAATAAACAAATCTATAAATATGCATACCGAGAAATTCAAATGAGTAAATACACTTGGCTCACTGACTATCCAAGGGCCAGTTCTAATACCATATTAGAGCATCAACCAAAAATCAATTGGCAATGAATGGAGTGACCCTTCAAGTATATCAACCACCCTTGGTGGTCCTAGTTGTTTGATGTGGGACACAAGCTCCCTTAACATTTTCTGCCTTCAAAATCACTTTCTACAAATTTAGAATAGAGACCAGGCCCTAAAAGATTACTAGGGCAAAGCTGGGAGTAAATCAACTAGCTAAGTTGGAAGGTTGGAAGCGATCATGCCAAAAACATTAACCAAAAAGAAGGAAAATTTTCAATCCTAATAGAATAAATATGTTGCAATGGAAGATTTAGAGGTAGACCGACCCATATAGTTCTGACTGGTTTGCATTGATATTTACAAGACGTCTTAGTTCTCATATCTGATTATGGTTCTGATGACTCTTTAGTGACCTAAGACTTGAATTCCATGAGCCCTAAGCTTCCAAAATATTGTGAGTATTACTTAGACATCAATTAGAATGTCTCTTAGGCTTGCATCAGGTTGTGAATTTTAGGTTAGGTCATATTGTGAAGTGCTCTCGAGAGGAGCCTTTCAGGGAAAAACTTTTTGGAAGGTCATTTGGAAAAAAAGTTGCCTCCAAAGGTCGTTTTTTCATGGACGGCGCAGCTTTGGAGAAGGCTCTGACCACTGATCTGAGGAAGAGGGGAAAGATTCTTACTAACTGATATTTTATATGCAGGTATGCGGAGGAGACTAGAAACTGCTTAGTCTTACTATGCCCGTTACAGAGGGCGTTTTAGGCTTTATTGTTTTCATTGTTTGGTATTTGTCGGTTGACGTCTAGATCATCATTGAATCTCTTGGAATGTTGAATCAAGAAGTGTGCTAGGAGGAGGGTTTTCAGTACTGGGTAGTGGCTTCTCTGTCTTTGGTGAGTGCAGCTAATCCATAATAGATGTCATTCTGAGGGTGTGGGGGTGCCGCCAATTTTGGAGTTAAAGAAGGTATTTTCAAGGTTCCTTTGTTTTTGTTATCAAGGGAAACTTTTTTGCATTAGTGACTTTTATTTATTTTCTGGTAGGTCTTGAGAGTTGATTGTATGCAGCCTATTGTTGTGCATATATAGTCTTTCTTTTTTGTTTTTCATTGTGTGTATACATCCTGTGTTCAAGTAGTTATTTAATTTTATCTTTAATTCTGTATATCATGAATAGATATTTAATATTCTTATGAAATCTTTTTGTTTCAGGATAGGATTCAGTATGATAGCTGATGCTGAGGAAAAGGGACTTATAACACCGGGGAAGGTAAGATGGGGGATCCAACTCTTGCCTTTTTATATGGAATGCATACCATACACCTGACTTTTTGCCTTCATGTCTTGCCATAATGGAAGAACCTGTCTATTCTGGAACAATTCGGCAAGTGAAAATTGATTTTATGAGGTATTGGTGTTTTTGCTGCATTATTGAGCATGAAAACCCCCAAATAATCAGCTCTTATATAACTTGTTACAAAACATGGGCCTAACAATATGTCTCTTATTGCAAATCACATCAGACTGGAGCAATACTCTAGTAAAACACAAATGTTACTAGTCTCTGACTCAGTGATGGCGCATGGTTGGTTGGATCAATACAATCGACTTTGGAAGATTAGGCGAAAGACTAGGATTTTTTGGTCCAACGGGAAATGTAATTGGTAGTTTTTTTATTTATGAGTATTTGTTTGCCAAGGAGTAGTAATTAGAATTTGATTAGGAAATTATTATAGAGTTTTAGTAGTATAGGAGTTTAAGAATTTGATTATGAAACCTTTTTAGAATTTTAGTAGGAGAATACTTTGTATTTTGGTAAGAAACTTGGTGTATAAATAATGGTGTAATCCCAACTATTTTTATTAGTGAGAATGATATAATAAAAAGTATTTCTATGTGGAGAATTTTGTGTATTTCTTGACCTAATCCTTGCGAGGGTTCGGTATCTCGTCTTCTTCTTTTTATTATCTTATTTCTTCTTCTTTTGTCCTACATTACTTAGTTTTGTGATCTTACAAATTGCATAAGTTTTATAATTTTTTATTAAATTTGTAAATTTGAGAATTATCTACAGTTGTGAGCATCTACGTTAGCCAAAAAGGTCTCTGCTGTTTCCTATTGTGGTCTTGGTCCTGAATGTTTAGTTATGTGTTCCGATTGATGAGTGGCACCTTTAAAATTTGATCAAAGGCAAACCTCATAATCAAAGGCCCCGTATTGTAACATAGGATGACAAGCTTCATGAAAGTGGAGGATGTGAACCATCTGAAATAATGAGATGGCAAAGGCATCCAGTTTCAAAGGAGAGTGGAGGTACTTGACAGGGACTCCAAACTGAGATTGGCAGTAAGAGAAAATATCGGTCTCTCTTTCTCTTTCCCAGCATGTCACAAAGTAAGGAGTGTTAGCAACTGAGGACTGGTCCATGGACCAGTGGGGCAGGTGGCTATGTGAGCATTACACAGAATTACTCAAGAGTGATACCTGCCTTCTGGGAAGCAAATTCCTTAGTTTTAATGTGCTGCCTCTATGGTAGATGAAACATTAGACTGACTGTCATGATTCTTGGCTTCTAGGCTACTTTTTTGACTATCAGCTGGACAATTAACTGAGCCAATCATGGTTCAAGGTCGCGGTATCAGCCATGGACTCAAGAGAACTATGAGACACATCAATTGCGACATCGTGTTGTGGTATCGGGCAATACAATGTTAAAGAAAATGTTGAACATGACGAGAGATTCAGGTCATACCGCAGTGTCGCGGAACCATGTCAGTCGATTTTGTGACAAAAACTTGGCGACTCAGATACAACTTGGACGAATTAGCCAAGTCGTGCAAGACTAAGATTATATATATATATATTGTGTAACGGTATTGTTTCAAAAGGTGCCGAGTCGGATATGACTCGGCCGACTCGTATCCGTATCGGTCAATACTTTGAACCATGGGGCCAATGCTATTATTGGTTAGTGTCAACAACATTTTTTGTGCAGTATGAACTCTTTTGACTATCAGCTGAACAACTAATAGGGCCAGCGATATTATTCGTAATTTTGAACAGTCTTTACAGTGCAGGGACACCAATTTGACATGTTTGGCTAATGTTTGACATCATTGTATGATATAAACTGGAGGACACTGAATTTGTGTTGTAGAACCAATAACATTTGTCCTGTGGAGGCGCTTGGTATATAGATCTAGCTAGATATGAATTTGACATTAAGGACTTACATGTGCCATACTTGAACAAATGCCATTTGAAATTTTTGTTGGGTCATATGTTTTGTTTGTTTTTGTTTTTCCCTTTTCTTATCGATATGAATCCTTACAAATCATCTACTACTGTACTGTGGCTTCTGCTCCTATGAAGAATGGACCTGTCGCCTTGATGCAGCTTTGTTGTGTCAATGTCATCATTTTTATGATGTCTATTTTGTTTAATGCCTTTTATCTGCATTATTCTAATTGTAGTTTTACTCTATTCTTTTTTCTTTTTCCAGAGTATTTTGGTTGAACCCACTAGTGGAAACACGGGAATTGGCCTCGCCTTTATAGCTGCGTCAAAAGGATATAAGCTCATCTTAACAATGCCAGCATCAATGAGTCTGGAAAGAAGGGTTCTTTTGAAAGCATTTGGGGCTGAGCTTGTTTTAACCGATGCAGCTAAAGGCATGAAGGGAGCAGTTCAGAAAGCTGAGCATATATTGAATAACACACCAAACGCTTACATGCTTCAACAATTTGACAACCCTGCAAATCCAAAGGTTTTGTCCCCAGTTGAATCATCATGTCTTACTGGTCTTGGATTTTCTGTAGTATTTCATTTATCAGTAAATCTTTGTTCATTGTTGCAACCTTGTGGCATTGGCTCAGTTGCCAAAACCTACCAAACATACTAGAGTACTCATTGTAGGAAGGCACATCCTGCCTATCCATGCTAATGGTGTACAAGTGTGAATACAATAACGTGGTGGGCCAGCGCTTTTACAAGATTTTATTTAAGTTTTACATATAAAACGTGTAATGCTGTTTTACTGTCAATTGGTGGAATAATGGGTTTGACTTGGTCATTTCTTTGGTTAATGACTGTCATTAAGCAGCACCAAACGATCAATAGCACTGACACAATAATTTCCAGTTGGCATCAAACATCAGAGAAAAGTTAGATCTCACTACTTTCTATCTCTTCCCAAAAAGGAAATAGAGTACAACAAGATGGCCCACAATCGTATTATTTTTATAAATTGTTTACCATGTACATGTGAGGGGTCAGGTGTTCGCATACCTTGGACAAAATTCTTCTGAGGTAATGTTTGGATTAACTTCAATGACATAGATTGGTGATCAGATGTTGAAGACCTACAAAAAGGTAACTTTTTGGCGTGGAAATCTTTGATTTGGCCTTAAGATGGTGGCCCCATCTGAGGGTAGCCACATAGAGGGTTTGTAATTTTGTTTTTTTTCCATTGAATTATATACTTACAGAGGAAGAGATATTCATTGGGTTCCGTTTATGCATTTTGTGCAGATACATTATGAAACAACTGGTCCAGAGATCTGGGAAGATACTAGAGGCAAGGTGGACATTTTTGTCGCGGGGATTGGAACCGGTGGAACCATTTCTGGGGTCGGTCGTTTCCTTAAAAATAAAAATCCTAAAATCAAAGTGAGTTGTTTTATGTTGGGTTTTTATAAATTACCATATGTCGAATGAAATTTGCTCCACATTCTTGGCCATTTGGAATTTTGGACAAGCTGAACCCTTTCTATAATGAATACTTGTAATATATAGCTAGATGAAAACTGAAAGTTCTCAATGCAAACATTTGGATGTACTTGATGACATTTTTTTTTCCATATTGTATCAGGTTGTTGGTGTGGAACCCTTAGAAAGCAACATATTGTCGGGTGGAAAGCCTGGTAAGATACTTAGAACTTTTTATAAACCTTTTAGTTCCAGAATAATGTCAGCGGCATCTTGTCCTCTTTTTGCCGTTTGGAAGTGCAGGCCCTCATAAAATTCAGGGGATTGGAGCAGGTTTTATACCAAGGAATTTGGATCAAGATGTGGTTGATGAAGTCATAGAGGTCTGATTCTTTTATTTTGATAAATTCATTATCATTGGTCTTTGTTGTGTATTACTTTAAAATGTGGTTGGAATGGTGCATGCCCCACTAACATACACTGCAATTGACCTGAGATTTAATTGATCAGTTGTGTGATGTCCCCTCACCAGAGGAGTACTACTACTTACGATTGATCCCTACCCCTGCTATTATGGCTGTCCTGATGTAAGGTTTTTTTCTTTGTTTCTTGCACGACCTGTTGGTTAATTTGTTAACAAATAGTTTGTGAAGATATGGGTTATTAGGGCCGTAAAAATGGTTTCAGTTATAATGCAAAAATTTTTCTAGTGCTAATGACACAGCTTGTTTGTTATTCACTTTTACTATATAACAACTCTAACATGCCTTAGTCAATACTGTTGTCATAAATGGCATTCATTGCAGTTCTCTTTGAAAGCCATTACCAATGCTGATCCCAGTAATACAGGGTGTTGAGCGGACTGACTGGGCATAGACTTATATCTGGCCTTATTTTCATGAAGCGCCACCTTCAGCTTGATCTGGCATTCTCACACTTAACATGTGTGGGCTTTTATTTAAACATGAACTGCAGCATAAATCATCCATATGATTAGCATCTTCCTATTTCTTTGTAAATGCAAAGATGAGTTACACAATGTTGTTGTGACCCATTGGCAGTGTTAGCCCATAAGCCTTGCCATTTACAACATTATAGCTTTGTAATAGACCTTTTAAACCTCGCTATAGGCGGGATCTTGTGCATTGAGTACTCCCACTTATAGCTTTTTAATAGACAATCTCCATTTGTCTCTCCACTTAGAACTTTATTGCTGAAGGAGCATCATTGTCATTGTTTGAATGCCCAATACTCTCAAGTCACTGAGTGAGGTTTTTGAAGTTGTCCTAGTGCGTAGAATCCAATTTTGTGCTTTACAAATATGATGCTCTTTCACATAAGTTTTGGTGTGCTGTTACTTCTGGGGAACAACTGCCACCTTTTCAGCGGGAATAATGTATGTAATCATGTACTTGTAACTGGAAATCTATTTAGCCCAATGACGACTTCTTTGAAATGGTTTTTGTCTGGTTGCCCTTTAGTTCAAGGGCCCACATGCACATGCAATGAAATGAAATGCATATTATTTTGGTCACGCGGTTGTTGAGATGCTGTTCTGCATTTGCTGGACGTATGGTGCAAAGACATCTCATTCTGTTTAAAATATCTTATTGGGCCTACCGGGCGATTGTGTTTTTTTCTCCTCAGATATCTAGTGATGAAGCTGTTGAAACTGCAAAGCAATTAGCACTTCAAGAAGGGTTGTTGGTTAGTGCTCATTGTTAGTTTCTAATATCATTCCAGCATTGTAGGCGAAGTCAAAGTTGAACCAGAGATTGAGATGCTTTCATTTCATTTATATTCTTGTCTCCTATTTCCCTATTGGTGTCTAGATGACAACTTTTCTATGTACTTACTTAGAAATGACTATATTTTTTAGGGGACTATGAAATGACTTAAAAAGGAAAAATAGATAAGTATGCTAATTCCTGTGTACATACACACACCCTTAAAAGCAGGATGGAGGTTTAGGCTAATTATAGGAATTGAGCAGAAAACTAAGCAGATCTGTCAAATGAATTAATTCTTCTTGTTAAACGATATGAGACATCCTTTTTCTGTTTTTTTTCTTCTGTAAGCAGCTGAAAATATACATTTGTCAATCTTGTATATTTTAATTAGAAAAGCTACAAAAATAGTTATTTTTCTCAATGTCATGAACAAGATCTAATAATAAGATTAGTTGATGGAACAAGAGGGAGTAGGTTTGAGGATTGAAAAGAAGAGTCACAATAGGTATTTCAAACCAGAAGAGTTCTTTATCTTCATCTTTTTTACCAAGTGTTTTTAATTTAGAATTTTCTTGATTCCTATTCCGATAAGACGAAACTTGTTCTTGTTTGTACCCATCCACAGCATACTGCATATGTTCAGTGCTTACTCTGTTTACTTGTGAATGAGCACTTGTCATGGACCGTGGTATACATTTCGAATCAATGCAGGCAGTAGATTTTGCAGTTGCTTATGGGTCTTGATTTAGTTTTGCTTTGTAGGAATTAGGGGTATAGTGTTCCACAACTAGAAGTTTTTTTCTTTTTATTTATTTTTTTTAAAAAACAATTTTTATACACTCACATGAATTTAAATGTTTGCCTAAACTATATGTTTCATTCCTTGATATCCATAAGATCCATCTTCTTTTTCGTATCAGGTGGGCATTTCTTCTGGAGCAGCAGCAGCTGCTGCCATCAAGGTTGGAAAGAGACCAGAGAATGCAGGAAAGCTTATTGCGGTATGCTTATTTTTTAAGTGTACTGTTCCATTGGTATCTTGGTATATTCAGGTCAATTCATTGTCCAGAAGTAGCCGCAGAAGTTGAAATCAAATAAACGAGTTCAACACCTTTCACTTAGAATAAATAATCTCTAAAGCAATTCTTGATTTTGTCATTCAACATTGTCAAGGGCCATGTTCTCCGTCAGGTTGTAGGCCATTGTATCTCTTCTCACCGCCTGCCTTATTCTTTTCCTTGTAGTTTTCCAAGTAAAATTTTAAATACTAACGGTACAGGTCCATCCATAGGTTGTGGCAGCTCATGGCCAAACTGTGGCAACTTTTTCCATTTTAACCTCATTCGGTTCCATGTGATCTTCTTCAAGTCCTTTCATTTCATCTTACTATTCTTGTGAAGTGATACTCTTGTTGTTCTCTCTTAGGAAGATCCCCAAGCACTTCAACACAAATCTTGAACTTAGTCGTTTGGAGTATGGCCCCGGGCGGTGTAAGCCCCTGCATAGTCAGAGAACCGTGCCCAAATTGACTAAGGGACACGTCTCCCTTGGCGGAAAATCCCAAACTGTTTTTCACGAATCTTGCACTCGGGAATGGGAACACCCTTCAGATTCGAGTAAGAAACACCCTAAATGGCTAAGTGCATTGCACAAACAAATAAAAAAAAGAGTAAGAAAAGGATTCCGGTCATGAACTGAGGGTTGTGCAGTTGGAACGGAAATCCTCAGAACCATTGACAACGCTTATGTATTGAATACCAAAATTTGTTTCTTTAAAATCCTATAAAGCGAAATTAGGGTTTTTCTTTGAGATCACTCTGGCTTGATCTCGTCTCAGCACGAACACAAAATTCAACAACGAACACGAAAGACAGCTCGACGAACCTCGTGATCTTCTGTTGTATATGCCCCAACGTCAGAGTCCAGATGCAGAGTGGCCTGCCAGAACCTCTGAATTTTTGCTCTCCCTTTCTGTCTCTCTGAAAAACGTGAGTAAATAATAGAGTTTGATTTAGAGAGCCTAGACGTCTATATATAAGCTACGACATAAACTCTAAGGAGAAATAAGGACCGGGCTTCCAATGGGCCTAGGATTGCTATGTTCAACCTAGAACAAACATCTTATAACCCATTAATAATAAGTCAGTCCACTAAAAACTTATTATTGATCTTCTAAACCTTATCTCAAAACTATATTCGAGCTCCTTATTATTGTATGCTTAGTAATCTTTCTATGTTTAAGATTACAGATGTCCATCAATTAAATAAATTACTGACAATTATATTTAATTGACTTCTTTTATTGCTTGAGACTTTATCATTCAACTTATTTGAATAATAAGACGTAATTTCTTTTAATAATTAATTTTTATCATACAAATAATATTGTCTCCCAATTCACCGAACTTGTTGATTCAATATGAATCTCTCTTTGATGAATTAAAGTGACAAATATTATATGCATGTGACAATTAAATATTTCAGAATTAAGAGCATAAACAATCATAATAATCATGAAGTATTTATTAGCTTATTGAATCTGTAAAAGATAATAACCTCAATATAAGTTTATTTAATACTCAAAGTGTACTAATGTAATAATCCGAGACATCAAATAGTCTCCTATAGTCAAGACAGACTATAACAGAATATTACACTACAATTATATGTGTCCAATTTCATCTAGGATTGTGAACTTATATTCATATTATACAAGGATCTGATAATCTAGTCTTTTGTTTATAAGCCGAACTCTACAGACTAGATTATCTACATTGTAAAACATGATACACATGCATACTATATATTAAATATAATGCAAATATTTTGCCTATATAGATTCTCAATAAAATAGAAAGAACAAACTTCTATTAATTAATAAAATAAATTTTTTTATAAAAATTAAGTTTTTAGTATACTACTCTATCAATTCTCTCACTTATACTTAAAGCCATGTTGTCATACATCTAACTCCAATTCCCTTCACATGACTATCAAAAGTCTTTGTGTAAGTCTTTGTGAAGGGATCTGCCAGGTGGTTTGCTGATACAATCTTGGTGACTACTACATCACCTCTTCCCACGATATCTCATATAAGGTGATATTTACGCTCAATGTGCTTCTCCATCTTATGGGTTCATGGCTCCTTTGAGTTAGCAACCGCTCCGCTATTGTCATAATAAAGTGTAATAGCCGATTTTATTGAAGGTACCACTTCTAAATTCATTGGGAAGTTTCTAAGGCAAACTATCTCTTTGGCTGCTTTAGAAGCCGCCACGTACTTGGTCTCCATGGTGGAATCAGCAATACAAGATTGCTTGATACTTCTCTAACTTATGGCTCCACCTCCTAGAGTAAACACATATCCTGAAGTTAACTTTTTAGAATCTCTATTTGAATGAAAATTAGAGTCCGTGTACCCGATGAGTACTAGACTATTTACTTGGTAAATTAACATATAATCTCTTGTCCTTTTCAGGTACTTGAGAATATGCTTTACCGCAGTTCAATGTTCTTGCTCAGGGTTAGATTGATATCTACTAACTATGCCAATGGCAAAACAAATATCAGGTCTAGTGCAAAGCATAATATACATGAGATTTCCCACTACCGAAGTATAAGGAACTGTCTTCATGCTCTCTATCTCTTCAGGTGCCTTAGGACACTGCTCCTTTGATAGAGAAACTCTATGTCTTAAAGGAAGAAATCCTTTTTTGGAATTTTGCATGTTAAAACGGGTTAGAATGGTATCGATATAGGTAGTTTGAGACAAGCCTATCATCCTATCTTTGCGATTTTGCATAAGCTTGATCCTAAGGATGTGACTAGCCACTCCCAGATCCTTTATATTGAACTGATTGGATAACCATACTCGGTCTCTGCCTCCTTGATCAGCCTCTCCAGTGTCACCTCCCTGATCATAGTTGCCTTGGCCTCCCCCATCCTCGAACAGGTTGTTATACTCAACCACATTTCCGATGGAGACCTGGCCCCGAAGACTAGCAGGCACGGTAGGGTCTTGACTGCCTTCCCAAATGTAGGGGAAGGAAGCCTTAGAGGAGAAGGGTACTCATGCTCCTCATCATTACCATTTATCAGGATTATAGCGGGGGGAAGGGGATCTTCCCTCATAGTCTTAGACTCGTCCCCGACCCCGTCATCTTCCTTATCAGACATTGCCGACAAAATAAAGACGTGTTGGAGGAACAAATCAGAGTTAGGAGTGAGCTCAAGAGCGCATTAAGCCCAACATCCCAGAGGAACAAATCGGAGTTAGGAGCGACCCCGACATCCCATCTGTCCTTGAAGTATTAGGCCTTGGGAGTTGACGAAAACCTTCACCACATCCATCTGTAGTTTGTTAGTTTGTTGTAAGTTTCCTGATGGATCTAGGCCTCCTTGCTCTCCACATTCGCCAGGGACTTAATCATTTTCTACACTGACCTATTCGCGTGGCATAGTTCTTCTTAGCCTTGGCGGCGAGAACCTTCAACTCTACCTTAGCCATCCACCTTTCATCTTGGCCTCACCATCGTTGGTCTTTTCTAGCTCCAACGAGAGGCCATTCATCTTCCCAATCAAGTTGAAGATCTGTCATTTGATCGCCAATGACATTCTCTTTGTTTTTTCCCCATCTACTTGAAGCCTTCGGCCTTGGCATGAGCCTTCTCGTTGGCCAAGCAGTAGCGCCGAACCGGTCAACGATGACCCCCATGTATTGGGAAACCTACACACAAAAGGAAAAAAATATCAGCAAAGATGCCAAAAGAAAGAGGAAGGAAAAAACAAAGGAATATGATGGCAGAGGGCTTTAGCACTAAGACGTTTGGGGTGGCCCCCCTTAGAGCAGACCATTATCAGTTCGATCTCGATGGATGGCCATAACAATGTTAAAGAGCAAAGCCCCGCTGACTACGAAGGCGACCTTGGGAGAGCGTAACATAGAGTCTGAGTTCAAACCTGCCTTGCCCTTTTGAGCATAAGCCCTAGGGGCCCATTCGTTGCCAGAGGTGGAGGCCAGTTAGGCTAATGGCAAGATGGTTCTGATAGGGGGAATCACTTGAACTTTGGAGAGTAGGAGGGATGACTTGTTCCCAAGGGCAGATGGGAGCTTATGGCGGCTTTTGACAATCCGCTCAGTTTGGACCCCTTGATCGTCCTCCCTCCCTTGACGACTATTGGGGGGCACTTGTTGTGTTTGGCTAAGGTGGTTGCTTAAGAGGATTCGCTAGGTCTCGAGCGACTAGCTTGGAGGGAGGCTTTCAATGGAGATTATTGGCATGCGAGACATTTCGGAATCGGAGGAGGAATTTTTTGAAGAATTGGAGGAAGAGGTAGGTTTAGTGGCCTTTGAGTCCTCGAAATCCCGATCACTATCCTCTTCTAGATTAACCTCACCAGAAGAGTCGTCGATCCAAGCAGCCTAGTCGAAGGGGATAGGAGTCTGGCAAAAATTCCTGTGTCGGGGATGTAGTTTAGCATGACGTGGGCTGCTTGGGCGAGATTGTCCGCCCTCTGGAATTGCCAAACTGTAATCAAGTCTTGGAAGGAGACTAAGAAACACAGCGGCTTGGGAGCGTCTTCCTTTATACCCTCCTCTGCAAAACAAATAAGTGTTAATGCACATTTGGACGCCGAGCAAGACTCATTGAACTCACTAGGCGAAAGGAACCCGCATACCTGACCCCTTTAGGATCTTGGGACAGTAGAGGCCAAGGTACTTAGGTCCCTTGCCTCTCTCCCATTGGTAGCCCACCATGATGAGATCTTACGTATATCCCTTGTTGGAGTCAGACATGTGACAAGGTATATGGCAAGGTCCCGAGCTTTGAGGTAGTATTTCTTATCGGGTTTGGTCTACATCATGGCATAGCAGAAGATCTCATTTACTCCTAAGTTGGTGCAAAGTTGATAATTCAAAGCAACGAACCCTATGATTATCCTAAACAAATTCACACAACACTTCTCGGGAGCTAAAAGTGCATCAAGAACCTGAGCAGGAGGGGAGGAAGAGGGAATCTAACCCCCCCTCCATTATCACCTTTGTATGGAAGGGCATAAGGTTGGGGCAACCTATGGTGGCACTATGTTGTCGGCCTCGAATTTTATTAACAGTACATCGGCCGAGATGCGGTATTTGGTCCTAAAATTGGCAATCCGTTGTGCATTGTCTACTTGGGTTCCTAGGCTTAGTCTCAAAAGTCCTAGGCCAATCATTGATCCTCGGCCTATCTCGTCCAAGGGTTCTTGCCATTGGAAAGAAGAAGGGAAGATTGGAAGGAAAAAGACGGAGAACTAAATGTACTTACTAAAATTGACGCTCGGGATGTCTTCGGCGATGGGGGAATACTCAGCCTTGCCAAGTGCTTCTGATCTTCAAGGATTCAAATGGGGCCAATGAGTGGGAAAGCCCCTCCTATTTATACTTTCTTTCAAGGGCATCGGTTACCAAGAGATACGGTGCATTAAATGTGATTTTCAAAAATTGGAGGCAAACTTGCGTGTAACGGCTCCCATATTCATACTATATAAATATTTTGCAACCATTCTCATCATTTTCTATTTTTGTTAGTGAGTCAATACTAGAAAACAGCAAGGTGAGATGTCTGTGTTTTTGTTTTGATTATATCAATTCATTGGAGAAATGTTAATACTTGTAGGTTGTGTTTCCAAGCTTCGGTGAGCGATATCTCTCTACTGTTCTATTCCAGTCAATCAGGGAAGAGTGTGAGAAGATGCAACCTGACCCATGAAAAGCTCCTCTTTTGAAGCCACCAATAGTATAAGAAACACTGTTTTGTTGTTTTCTTTATCTTTCACCTGGTGTTATACCGTATAGGTTGATGTCTTTTCTCATGTTTGACTGTTTCTCTTTGAAAAGTTATCATGTAACTGACATGGTGGCGAAGTTGGATATTTAAAGCGTGTTGCTGCCAGATTTGATAATAAAAATGTTTTTTTTTCCCCGATGGCAATTCTCTCATGGTTGAAGTGATTTGTGATTGCAGTGATTTTTTGATGGAAAACTGTATATGTTCAGCTGAATGTAGATCGACTGTTTTAACTTTTAAGCATGCGTTTTTGTCCAAAACTGTTAGAGATGATTTAAATATCATATCTTGATAAAATGTTACATCACTATCTGTTCTAGAATTTGAAGTTGTTAGAGACATAATAACTTATGTATTAACATTGCTACAAACAACTAAAGAAATGCGGGGATTAGATTTTGAGGAAGATGCATATCACAAGTTACCAGTAAATATGGATAAGTTATAACTTAATGAGGTCAAGTTACTTCCAAAAAAGGTTGGATCAATCGTAAATTATAAAAATTGATTTGAAACAATTTTATTTTGCTTAACCGTGCTAGATTGGATTGCAAATTCACTTTATTTTGTAACTTTTATGTTGTAGTAATTTTGGTATAGTTCTAAAAAGTAACTGTTTAGCACGGTATTCTCATCCAAAGGAATGGCTATGATATGCGTCATGCACAATGAAAAAAAGGACATGCTGTTACGTGCGCTTTTTGGGAGATATACAAAATAAACAAAATTAGAATTAGAGAAAAAGAGATCCCATTTTGAAGGGCAAGATCCTCTAGTGGTTCACTTCAAGATGAACCCGACATCCACATTCATTCATAATAAAGTCTTTAAGAGTGTGTTTGGGATGACTTATTAAATTCACAAGTACTTCTTAAATAATTATTTTTTAAAAAACACTTTATTAAAAATACTTTCTTCCATAATCATTGTTTGGATGCTCATTAAAAAAAGTACTTAAATAAAAATGATTTTACAAAACATTGTGTTTGAATGGTCAATTAAAAAAGTATTTATTTGTTTCACAATTACAAATATGTCATTCATAATCAAATATATATGTGTGTATGTTTGCATGTATTTTGTTAAAAACGTCAATAGTTATCCCATGATACATTTTTAGTGATGATTTATCAAATATATAAATAAGTTCACAAAAATAAAAAGGTAATTATAGAATACCAGTGATCTAAAGACATGATGAACCCAAGTGTAAACTTAGAGTTCACTACTATGAATTTCTTCATCACCCATGTATAAGCTTCTACTCTTTGATGCATTTTTTTTTTCTTTTCGAACAAATCAACAGAAGAGAATTTTTTTTTTTAAAGGGCAAATGATCCCCCCTTTTTTTTTTAAAGAGAAATTTTATTTATTCACAAAACCACAATTACAAGAAGTAAAGAAAAGGCCAAAAGTACCTTTTCATAACAGAAACTACCAATCAAACACAGCAAAATTTAACACTAAAACAACAAATCCAGAAACAAGGCTTTCAAACACTCCTCACATCTTCACAGCACTAAACTTCATCTCGTTTCAAACAAATCAACACTTAACATTCAGCCATACAAATCACCAAAACCTTCAACACTTAACCCTTGTCATTGAACACCATTACCTTCTTTTTACGCAACACAGGCAAACCTTGCTGATCAATGCACAAGGCTAAGCCAACCTCCCAAGGTAACCTCAAATCAACAGACTAGTCCACAGATCTCCTGTTCCGAACAGCATATCCAGCCAACTTATCAACAACATAATTCGCTTCTCTATAAACATGCACTAGGGCGAAATCCCAAACTGCTCAAAGTACCTTTAACCTGCCTCAGTATATCCAGACTGGACCAAGGGCATTCACAACGTCCCAAAACAGAGTTTACCAGATCAAAGAATCACATTCTATTTCAAGAGTATAACAAGACAAGGCATATAGTTTTCAAATTCATTCTCTACAACATATAGTTTTAAGTATGGTAAGGGTAATGGTTTAATCCTCGCTCAACCATTGATGGTTATTTTGGGGTTTGTTGGGTGTGTGGGGGTGGGTTTGGTGGTGGGGGGTGGGGGCTAACATTGCACAAAACTGGCCATATGTGCTGAAATAAAAGAGAACTAAACCAGAGAAAATATGTCGTCAGAGAAAATGTTCTAGTTACCCATATGCTGCCGGAAAGTTTGGGACCTCCGACCTTTTAACAAATAATTGCTTGATAAGATGGGTATTTTTCCTTTTCAATCTTTGTGAGTTGATGGATGTTTTCATTAACTCATATTTGTGGTGTTTGTTAATGGAATAATCTACAATAGAATGGATGCTGATAACAATGTGTGTGAGCATGGACAAGAATGTTTAGATCACAGTTGAACAATTTTTTCCGGGCGAGTAAAAATAACTAACCTGAAGTAAAAATTCCCAAAAAAATATGAGACATGGAGGTATTTGGAAATTTGGAATTTCCATATAAGTGATTAAAGAATGGAGCTCATTGAAGAAACCTTATCACAAAGGGAATCCGAATCAATAAGGCAGGCAAACAACTATACTGCATGAGGACAAAATGTGATCGACAAAGGCACCAAGCATCGCCAAGATAATGCCAATTATGTCAGGCAAATGGTAGCTAATTGGAAAACACTAACCACAAAAGGAATTTGAACCCACAAGACAGGCAATCTGCTTAGAGAAGCACTCACTACTACTCGCACATGACTCGAATTAACCCATTCATCAAGTATTAGCAAATGTACCATCTTCAGATGTCCATTGGTTTGTTATTGACAGTTAAATACATTTCAGATAACCAAAGAACATGAGTGAAATAGACCCATATGGTAAAAAGGCAATACATGAGTTTATATTGCAAATAAACCATCCTCAGCTGCCCACTTGATTGTAATTGGCAACATTATACTTATCAAATGACAAGCAAAGAACATCAGAGAAACAGAGCCAAATGGTAAACATCCAATACCCTTACCCAACAACAACCGTTGTACATTCAAGGTGGGAAAAAAAACAACAATAATCAATAGCTGAAAATCCATGAATGAAAGCAACACAATGTAACACTACATTATCAAACACACAGATATTAAGATTGTAAATACACACAAGAGATAGAGATACAGACAACATTACCTCAATAACATCAATAGTAAGGAGCAGTACAATTATCTTCTCAGAGTGGAGCTCAAATTTGTGATAAGGTATCTGGAAATTTTACAATGGTATCTACTTGAATGCCACATGGTAACAGAATGGAGCTCGAACACACAATGTTTTCTTTACAACACAAAAAAACAACAGCCCCAAGCATAAGAAAAAATCCATAGCACATGCAAGTCATTTTATCAAACAGTTGGTGGGCATTCTATCATACTGTCCAGTTTTCCTAAAACTTAAATGTGAGAAAGAGCAATGAATTATGAAAGTAAAATAATATAGTGATTTTCATAGTAATCATGGATAAAAAAAAAAAAAAACAGTTTCCCCAAAATCTTTCTAAGATCTCCAGAAATTTCATCATCAAAAAAAAAAAATCACAAACCAAAATACATCAATCCACAACAAACTATAAATAAATCGTTGCAACAGATAATATAAAATTAGTTAAGAAGATATTGTATCTCGTTTGAAGGGATTTGGTTAAACCAGCATACAACAAAGATCGGTGAGAGACTCCGACGTCATTGGTAGTTGGCGAGAGAGAAGGTAGTGTCGTTAGTCAGCGAGATGAAAGAATAAATTACCAGCGTCGGCATCGGTG